AGTGTGAACGGTTGCGTGTTCGACCAGATACGGCACCATCCGGAGGGAGGATTGCGGACAACTCCATATTTTTTGAAGAAGCATATCAGATCAGGAACTTTTTCCGAGCGGCATGAGGTCAGCACACGTCATTTTCACCCAAAAATTAATGTCATAACCCCAGTGAAGGATCCTCCTGTGAGCTAGAGAACAGAAAATGAAGAACCATCGCACCTGCGAAGCACTTACCCTACGGCATTGTTATTGTAAATAGCATCAAGGGGACTCTATACAGAAGCTTCTTCACTACTCGAGTTTAGCTCCAGATACCCACGTACTACATTACCGAAAGTATAAAGTCATTTTTTTTCGGATCGCCAAAACGCTTTGGTTCGGACAACACCACTCGTATTGATCGATTCTCCGTAGGGCTCATGCTCATACCGTAGGCATTATCCTCAAAATAACTCCTTACAAACTCGCTTATTCGGAATAAAACCCCTGTATTTGATATCAGTGTCGAAAACACTATAGAATCACATACATTTTGAATTACAAATCTCAAAACAAACTTTTCCTTGATCTTCGCCATCACACAACTGCCTATACGGTAACCGCCTTGATCTACCGTCGATGCCGGCCGCCAAAAAAGCGTCCCGCCGAAATCGAGGGACTGGCAAAAAGTGAGAGACTGTGGACATTGCGGAGAAGCAGACTGGCCAAACGAGGGGTCGGCGATAACCTTCGATCGTAGATCAAAATGAACTACCACAAACACATCTGGGTATTGACAGCCAAGATCAAAGGGAAATTCGGATTGAAGGTTTATCGTACAAAGTGTACATCATTGCGTAGAGTTTTCGACGCTTATTCCATGTACGAAAACAATTTTCAAATTTGTGAACTGAAGGAGAAGTGCGGCGTGTGTTTACATTGCATTCAGCTTCACCATGAGCTGTCAAGTATTCAGTCGACTCACGGGAAGCTTTGGAGTCTCGTCTATTAGGCTGGATTTCCCTTTGGTGTTACTGCCAGGCGCGCGTACGCGTGCGGCAGCCACTCCGTCACCCGTTTGTGCGTATTCTTAGGCCACTTTAGGAAGACGAAGCGGCGCTTTTGTACTATTGCGATCCCAAGAAAAATTTCCTCCAAAAACTTCACCCATTGGGATTATTCATGTGCCCACATCATGCAATATACTTACGATTCGTTCGCGCTGACTCCATTTGGCACCCGTTCGCGCCAATTTGGCGCCACCCTTTACATCAATTTCTCTAAAACATAAGTGTGGGGTTGGTTTTCGCCCTGAGTAGCACCTGTTTTTACCGCAGCCACCATCTGTCTAGAGTGATAGTGCAACTGCGAATTTGTGTCAAAAACTTCAACCTGAGATATATATATTTTTTTATGCCAGACAAAAATATAGCTTCAAGCGCAAATGGGTTGACGAGTGCTGCGCACGTACGCGTGCTTGGTTAACGAGTACAACGCACGAGACCCCCATATTTCCCGTTAATCGACACAGTAATACGCTCATGTAGATCGGAACCAATAAAAAACGCCGCACTTCTCCTTCAGTTCACTAAATTTGAAAATTGTTTTCATACCTGGAACCAAGCGTCCGAAAACTGCGCAATAATGTCACTTTGTACGATGAGCCTTAATCCGAATTTCCCTTTGATCTTGGCTGTCAATACCCAGATGTGTCTGTGGGGATTCATTTTGATCTACGGGCAACGGTTATCGCCGACCCCTCGTTTGGCAGTCTGCTTCCTCCGCCAGTGTCACAGTCCTCTCACTTTTTGCTAGTCCCCCCGATTTCGGCGGACGCATGTGTGGCGGCCATCGAGACGTAGATCAAGCGAACCAAAAAGTACGTTAGGCGCATTTGGGTGATGGCGAGCAAATCAGGGCAGGAAGTTCTTCGTTTCTTGAAATTTGTAATTCAATTAGTGTGATCTTATGGTGTTCTCGAAGCACTGATATCATTAATGCAGGGGGTATTGTTTTGATATGACGAGTTTTTAGGCACGTTATTCTAAGGATAAGCCATGCGTATGAGCATAGACCTCCTACGGATAGAATCGAGCAATACCGGGTGTTGTTCGAAACAAAGGTTTTGGCGATACGAAAAAAAGACCTCATACTTTCAGGTAATATCAGTTACGCTGCGTATCTGCGAGCTTAAACTTCCAGTAGTGAGAAAAGTCTGGGTGCATCAAGTAGGGTGGGCACGCCGCATTTTTTGAACAGAAATGTATGTGAGTGGGACTGCTGCCCGCTACTATACTTCACGAGAATCGGAAAATTCGTGAGCCAGGGGGAACGTAGCCAATCTAGGGAGGGGGGGGGGGGGGGCACTGACATGCGTGAAAAGCTGGGCGTGCCCACCCCTCTTGTATAGAGCCAACTTCTGTTTAGACTCCCCTTGATGCTATGCACAATAACAACGCCGTAGGGTAAGTGCTTCGCAAGTGCGATGGTCCTTCATTTTCGTTCCCTAGCTGACAGAAGGATCCTCCACTGGCGTCATGACATTGAATTTTTGGTGAAAATGGCGTGTGCTGAGCTCATAACGCTCGAAAAAAATTCGCTGAACTAGTGGCTTGTCCAAAAAAAAAATGGCTAGTTATCCTCCAGTTCATATTTTTTGCTCCGAGGCGATCTTTTCGTTTACTCCTCAGAATAACAGAAGAAACCGGCGTTGGCCTACTCGACGCCAAATTTTTCACTTGGCATCATCAGCACCTTTTTTACGACAAACTTATCGTATGGGTAAATGGGTTCATCATTAATCCGGTTTGCCATAACCTCCCCTTACTAGAACCCTACCACCATGGCTGTTTCCAGCGCAAGTTTCTGAGACCAGTCGGCACACTGCAACCCCGCCCCCAGTCCTCCTTTATGGACGGGCCCCAGTCCTCCTTTATGGAGGGGGCGGGAAGGGTAAATACGACTGAAAGAGCGGAAAATGCTCTAACTATTCATTTCATGCTTCTTTTTTTTGGAGTTTTCACCACAATTTATCAAAAGCCATTCAAAGGACACTTTTCTCCCCAGCAACCACAACCCCTTAAACTTCCTACAGGATATGACCCCTCATTTCACTTTCAGCAACCCCCAATTACAATCCTCTCTCAAAATCGCAAATATACCCCGTTTGGAACGGCCGGGCGGACCTGATTGACCCTGACCGGAACTGATCAATCGATGATACACGAGAAGAAAAAAATTTCACTAACTTCAAGCTGCATTGGCGATTCGCTGACATTTAAAATGCTTCTCGATCTGAACTGTGATCATTTTGCAGGAGTAAGCTTGGCTAGCATATAGTTTAGCTATGTTGTTTGTAGGCAAGGAGTTCGAGAAAGTGAGAAAACCATTTCCTACGTCTCTGACTCCCCCCCCCCCCTTTCACTTTACGGCTGCAAAATGTTGCGAGGTTTTCGTTTGCAGTCGAACCCGTGAAATATAGTTAGGTGAGAGCACCCCTTCAGTATAAGTAGTCTTTGTGAGCTGGCCCTTTCGGCAGGCTTGTGCTCAGCCTTCTGGTTTTGATGATGTGACGAGAG